TTCCTTCCTTCCTTCCTTCCTTCCTTCCTTCCTTCCTTCCTTCCTTCCTTCCTTCCTTCCTTCCTTCCTTCCTTCCTTCCTTCCTCCCTCCCTCCCTCCCTCCCTCCCTCTTTCCTTCTCCCAGGAAGTTGCTCCTACACAGCCATGAAGAGTCTTGGTAGAGGACGGTTGTAGAAATAATGAAGGCCATGTCTAAACAATGATGAGAGAATCATTGATGCAAATTACAAATCTCAAAAAAAACACTATTTTTCCCCAAAGATTTCCTCTTTCCCTTTATGTAATTTTTAAAATTACATCTCACATGTCTGAGGCAGTGAGGGTTTTATCCTTTTTGATGCTATATATATTCTCACAGAGAAAGGGATGATTAGGAAAAGGGGTTAAGCAAAAATAACTGCAATATTCCCATTTCTGCCCTGTGCAGATAAGTGGCCTACCCTTGGAAAATACTTGTTAGGCTCAAATGCCACTTCCTAGGGTCCTTGTGTAGTATTAATTTTGCCAGTTTTCAAAGGTTTATGATCATTCTTATAGTACTCAAGATAAGCCATGCTTTTTTCTTCTTTCCAAACTCTCATAAAATGTCATGGGAGACGGTGGGGAAGCCACAAGTCAGTGTGCAGAGGTCCTCTTGCAGCCAATATCCGTGTTAACTGGGAGCATGCTTGCTACCCCGGAAACCCACAATAGTACCATAAAACATCTGAAAATATTTACATGTGCATTCACAATAATAAAATAAAATAGAATAAAATCTTTGAGAATTAACTGTAACCATAGCAACACAACTGTCTTGCTGCTTTGCAAAATTAGCTTCACAGTCAAAGAAACCCAGTAATCCTTGGGCCCAGCTACATATTTAATCAGTTAAATTTTTCATGGCCTCAAGCTTTATCTTTCTTAGTTCACTGACAGATTCAGGTAAATCACCTGAAAATCTCTAAACTGGAAAACTGGAGACTGTCATCCACAACAATTGTTAAGGATTGCATTTTCATGTACTTAAAGAGTATATCAAAGGTTTTCTTGCTGATGGTGTTTTGTCGTAGCCTGTAATACTCTTGATGGTTTTCTTTGAAAACAAGAAAGCCAGGATTTGTATGTCATTCTCCTTTTTTATCCTAAATTAGTAACATTCAGTATAGGAAAGTTGGCTAGTCATCATTTCTGTTTTTGAATTCTTACATTTCAAACACTTCAGTGCAGAATGCAAACAAGGCAAAAACTTACGACAAGTCCCGATTTTTTTTTGGCGCACAATATTCCACATATGCCACAAAGAAGAAACTGCAAAGAAAAAGAAAAACAATTATTCTGTATTCAAAGATATGAGAACCCCTGGATTTTAGCTTATAGTTCATTCATGACACTAGCTTCAGGGAGCTTGAAAATTTTAAATTCCCATCAAAAGCTGAAAAGGAAAATACCTCAGTCTGGAATGGTAAAGGATAAAAATGCAAACTCCATTTATTTTTTGCAAGGTTTTTATAGGTAATTGTAAAATGTAATCAAAACTTGAATCAGTTTTAGCACCAGCCAAAATTATAAAGTAAACAACTTTAGGATTTTGTTCCTTCTACTTTCTTTCGCTGTCTACTTATCCCTTCCTACTTTCACTGAGAAAAGTGGTATGATCCATTCATTCATACCAAGCAACTAGGTGATACTACAGGTAGAGAATCTAGCACAAAAGATAAGGCAGGAAGGTATTTCTCTATAGAGGCATTTTTCAGACCTCTCAAACTGATAGAATGGCCACTTCTGACAAAAGGGGATGAAGTTACTGATGACACATAATTTCTTGTAAATAAGGACAATGGTGACATAATTGGTTTACAAAACAGCTACATTAAATCATCTACTAATGACAGCCTATTAGACATTTTGGTTATTATAAAATGGTAAATAGTTTAATTGGTACAGAATCTTTTAGGGCCATTTGAATTCAAATTTGCACATACTTCTGACTTGAGCTAAACCACATAAATAAAATAATAAATTTATTAATAAGTAATAAACGTACTTAAGGCCTTCAGACTTGCAAAGAATACTTTGACTTGCAAAGAAAGCATGTTTTCATTTGATTTTTAAAATTTTGCTATCTCAAGTCAGAATTAATAAAATAACTGGTTTTGGCTAATCTTTTCAAACCTGGATAGATATTTTTAAAATACATATCAAAATATTTTTTAAGGATTAGCTGAAATAGTAGACATGTGAGAAAAACCAAAAATTTGCTAAAAAATAAATGGGTAAGGAAAGTTGTTGCAAGGGACCTTTCCCTATAGGGAAGTAAAATGACCATAAAGCAGGCAGTGGTATAGCAAGACAGTTAGATCAGGGAACACAAGGATATGTAAGAATTTGGTTACTATAGCTTCATAGTATATTTGAAGTCAGGAGGTGTGATGCCTCTAACTTTGTTCTTTTTGTTCATGATTGCTTTCGCTATACGGGGTCTTTTACGGTTCCATATTTATTTATTTATTTATTTATTTATTTATTTATTTATTTATTTATTTTCTGTGAAGAATATCATTGGTATTTTGATAGCAACTGCATTGAATGTGTAGATGGCTTTGGGTAATATGGACATTTTGATGATGTTAATTCTCCCAACCCATGAACATGGGATATCTTTCCATTTATTTATGTCCTCTTCAATTTTATTCACCAATGTTTTATAATTTTCATTGTAGAGGTATTTCACTTCCTTCATTAAATTTACTCCAAAGTATTTCATTTTTTTGGTAGCTATTGTGAATGGGATTACTTTCTGGATTTCTTTGGCTATTTCATTGTTGGCATATAGGAAGGCTATTGATTTTTGTGTGTTGATTTTGGTGTTTTGTTTTGTTTTGTTTTGTTTTAAATTCCTTTTATTATTATTATTATTATTTTTTACATTCAAAGATGTTATAGAGCAGCAGGAAGGGGTAGGGAAATGGAAGTAGAGGTGGGGAGTGGCCTGTTTGTGGAGGGCAGAGAGGGATCGCTGAGGCCTGTGGGCTCCCCACACCCTGGCTCAGGAGCCTGGGGGGGTTTCTGGTGGTAGCTTTGTTGTCACTGGCCTGGATGCAGATGTCAGGAGAGCATGGCTGAGACCCTTGTCCCATCTCCCTGGCTTGGGAACCTGGGGGCTTCCAGCAGCATCTCGGTTGTCATTGGGCTGGATACAGACATAAGGGAGTGTGGCTGAGGCCCTCGGGCTCCCCTCACCCCAGCTTGGGAGCCTGGGGTGCTTCTGTGGAGGCTCTGTCATCACTGAGCTCGATGCAGATGTTGAGGGTGGGTGCGTGGCTGAGGCCCTTGTATGCCCCCCGCCCCAGCTAGGGAGCCCGGGGGCTTCCATTGGTGGCTCAGTTGTTGCTGGGCTGGATGCGGACATGGGGGGGCATGGCTGAGGCCTTCAGGCTCCCCTCACCCTGGCTCAAGAGCCTGGGGTGCTTCCAGCTCTTTTAGGTTTTATAGGTGTTCTTTGATAGTGTTAGACCTTTACTGGCTAATATCAGAATTTTGTCTCTGATCTGTGAGTGTTTTGTGTTTTTTTTTTCACTTCTGTGTTGGATTATTAGCTACCCCTACCACTTATACTCTGCACTAGAACTAATTTGTTGTCTTTTGCTTACTCCTAAAGTGGGGAAACTTCCTGTGGGGACCAACATTTGAGCCCTGTGGTTGAGCTAAATTGCTGCTTTGCTGCTGATTCCCTAGGGAAGGATTTTTGTGCAGCTCAGGTTTTAATTGTTGACTTTTTAAGTATTTCTGGGTCTTGTGAGAGCAGATACACCTGGGTTGTGTGGAAACTCTGGTCTAGGCCTGAGTCTCTTCAGAGAACTGCACCCCCTGCAGTTCTATATCCCTGACCAGTCTACACTGAGTGGGCCTGTGCTGATTGAAGAGTAGATCAGCTGTCCATGCTGTGCCCCAGTGCTCTCCTGGTGGGCCAGTGTCCCCAACCCCCTTCACTCCAAACACTGCCCATGGGACCAGCCATGCACTTGTCCCTTGTGATGACTCACTGGCCTTTGTGTGGCTCCTTTTTACAGTTGTCTATGACCCCTCACTCCTATGTGGGTCCACTGGAAACCCTGTCAGTGGTCTTGCAGGCCTGGGGGCCAACAAGGCCTTCCTCTCCCTTGTAGTCTCTAAGCAACTTCACACAAAGGGCACAGCTGTGGCTTTTGCTAGCTCTTGCTCTGTGTGCTCACCAGGACCAGCCTTGAAATGGCCGGGGCTCAAAACAGTCAGAGCAGTCCTTTCTTTCTCTCCTCACACTTCTCCCACCTTCATGAACTCCGTGGGTCTCTCCTCCTCTTCCCCTGAGCTCTAATAACCCAAGCTTGACAGTCGTTGCTTTCTTAATAGTTGTGAATTGGTCAATGGTGGGAGAGAGTGACGCTGGGAACCGTCTATTCTGCCATCTTAAAAATCCAGATAATTTCGATTACTTAACAACTAAACACTTCTGTATTATTAAAGGTGCCTGAACTTGATCTTTTTAAGGAATATGACCAGATCTTGTATACCCAGCAAGTCACCCAGTAGATATTCTGGAGGTAGGTGTCTGGCTAGTTCACACTGATTTTCCCTTCTGTGGGTGTTAGCTGAGATCCTTGGAGACTATGTTTCTAACATCTGCATTTTTGCTATTAACACTGTCCCAAGGCCTGGTTATTCAGTTCCTTCCTGAATTTTAATAGAAACTACAGTATCAGATTCAGATGCTGGGAAGTCTAAAGTCCGGGAAACAAATGTGGCAAGTATCTTCTATGGTGGTGGCTTTACAGCAATGCAGGAGTCTCACATGGCAGAAAATGGCAGAAAAGAGCTGTGTGTTGATTTTGTATCCTTCCACTTTACCAAATTCACTTATTAGTTTTAGTAATTTCTTGGTATAGTCTTTAGTGTTTTCTATGCATAGGATCATGTCATATGCATTTAGGGATAATTTGACTTCTTTCCTATTTAGATGCCTTTTATTGCTTTCTCTTGCCTTATTGAACAGGCTAGAACTTCTAGTGCTATGCTAAATAAGAGTGGGGAAAGTGGGCATCCTTTTCTTGTTCCAGAAATTAAAGAAAAAACCTCCAATTTTTGTCCATTCAGTGTATTAGCTGTGGGTTTGACATATATGACCTTTATTGTGTTGATGTACCTTCCTTCTACACCTAATTTGCTGAGTAACCAAAACAGCATGCCACTGGCATAAAAATAGACAAATTGACGATTGGACTAGAATAGAGAGCCCCCAAATAAACCCATGCATTTATGGCCTACTGATATTCCACAAGGTGCCAAAAATATACAGTGGAGAAAGGACAGCCTCTTTAACAAATGGTGCTGGGGAAACTGGATATCAACATGCAGAAGACTAAAACTAGACCTCCATCTCTCACCATATACAAAAATCAACTCAAAACGGACAAGAAACCTAAATTTAAGACCCTAAACTGTAAAACTACTGGAAGAAAATATAGAGGAAACACTATACAAAATGGGAGTGGGCACAGGCAACTAAAGAAAAAATGCACAAATGGGAATACATAAAACTGAAAAGCTTCTGCACAGCAAGGGACACTATCAATGAAGTGAAGAGACAAACTACAGAATGGGCGGAAGTATTTGCAAACTACACATCAGACAAGGGGCAATATCCACAATATATAAGGAACTCAAACAGCTCAACAGCAAAAAAATAAATAACCCAATTAAAAAATAGGCAAAGGACCTGAACAGACATTTTTCAAAAGAAGACATACAATGACCAACAGACACATGAAAAAGTACTTGACATCATGAATTATCAGGGAAATGCAAATTAAAACCACAATAAGATATCATCTCACCCCAGTTGGAATGGCTGTTATCAGCAAGACAGAAAATAACAAATGATGGCAAGTTCAGAAACAAAGGAATCCTCCTACAATGCCGGTGCGAGTGTAAATTGGTACAGCCATCATTGAAAACAGTATGCAGTTTCCTCAGTGAACTAAAAATATATCTACCCTATGACCCAGCTATCTCACTACTGGGTATATACTCAAAGGAAATGAAATCAGTATATCAAAAAGACACCTGTACTCCCATGTGTATCTCAGCACTATTCACAATAGCCAAGAGATGGAATCAACCTAAATACCCATCAAAGGATGAATGGATTAAAAAACTGTGGTGTGTATACACAATGGAATACTACTCAGTTATTAAAAAAAAGATATCCTATTATCTGCAGCGACATGGATACAACTGGAAATCATCATGTTAAGTGAAGTAAGTAAGGCTTA